AGAGAGAGCGAGGCCATGATGGGGCGAGCGCTGGATATGCTGAAGGTGGCCGCCCTCGTGATGGCTGTGGGCGGCAACGTGGCATCGGCGCAGCAGCACAAGGGGGACCTGTGGGCGGTGCTGGTGGCGGGGTCGAGCTCCTGGATGAACTACCGCCACCAGGTCAGTCACCCGCCGGCCGCCGCGCCCTCGGGGAGAGCCAGTGCATGTTCGCTTGGTGTTTTTAGCCCGAGATCGTAAAACGTGAGACAGAAGATACTTGGATCATTATAATCCAAAGAGATAAAGAAATAAATACGTATTCTGCCGGAGTTCGTGCTAACACAGATGAATGAGGGGGCGGCGGGGACCCATTTAATACCATAGGATGCAATTTACAAGATCTAATTTTATTTCTAATTTAATGTTAACTTAAAGACCTAAAGTTAGTATAAGATCTCGAATGCAATTACATCAGCAGGGCGCCTAATCGAGACTGTCACAGGCTCCTCTCTCTCTCCTCAGGCCGATGTGTGCCACGCCTACCAGATCCTCCACCAACACGGCGTGCCAGACGACCATATTATTGTCATGATGGCAGACGACATCGCGTACAACCCTGAGTGAGTACGACCTCTTGCAATGTAGGGATATTATAGAATAATTTAACCATTCATTCATGTTAGTTGTCGCTTCTGACGTGAGGGTGGATAAAAAACACTGTTGATTATGATAATGGTCAAAATATCGTTAACTTATAATAATGATCAAGTGTTGTTTGATGTTCATAGTTATGATTGTTTAGAACGGTGGCGGTTGTTATTGTCAGTGGCATCGTTATCGTTAGAATCATTATCGTTGTTATTGTTGTTGTTGTTGCTGCTGTTAATAGTATTATCATCATTAATATCATTATTAATTATTATTTTTCTCATTATTAATTATCATCATCGTCATTATCATCAGCGGAAGGTTACTGTTCTGATTGTCACTATCTTTAAGTTTATCACTTGTGTTATTTTTGTTATCATTGCAGTTGATTATAACAAAAAAGTTAAACATTGTATCAGTAATACGAAAACGAAGACTATACATTGGTGTTTTTTTGGTGAAATCTTAAAAAGGGAAAATTTCCAACGATATCAATTGCCATGCCCTCTGCAGAAACCCCGACCCGGGCGTGATCATCAACCGGCCCGACGGACCCAACGTGTACGAGGGCGTCCCCAAGGACTACACCGGCAGGAGCGTCACGCCCGAGATCTTCCTACGGGTGCTGAGTGGCGACGCAGAGGGCCTGAGGGGCGTCGTCGGATCCGGGAAAGTCGTGCGCAGTGGCCCCAATGACCGCATCTTCGTGAACCTGGTGGACCACGGCGCCCCCGGCATCTTCGCCTTCCCCACCTCTTTCCTGAAGGCCACCGAGCTCACCGATACTATCCTTGACATGCACCGCGACGGGAAGTTCGGGGAGGTGAGAGCGGGGGGCAGGAGGGTCGCGGCCTTACGCTGTTTTTTGTGGGCATCGCTAGGCCTTGTTTCCTTTAATTTTATTGTCATTATTACTGTTGTTGTTATCCTCATCACCATCATCTTCATTATTACTATTACTTATTTTGTTGTTGTCGTTGTTGTTGTTGTTACTACGACTATTATTGTTGTTGTCATTTTTATTATTATTATTATTGTTGTTGTTGTTAATATTATCATTATTATAACTATCATTATTATAATTATAATATTACTCTATTATTATTATTATTATTATTATTATTATTATTATTATTATTATTATTATTATTATTATTATTATTGCTCTTAACATTACTATTATCATTACTGTTACCATTACCGTTACCACTACTATTACTATTACTACTACTACTACTACTACTACTACTACTACTACTACTACTACTACTACTACTACTACTACTACTACTACTACTACTAATGTTGTTACTATTCTGTTTTAATTCCACAAAGCAACCCAATAACCTCCCCTTCCTCGTGTTCCCCCCAGATGGTGTTGTACGTAGAGGCATGTGAATCTGGCTCAATGTTCTCCCGTCTCCTTCCGGACGATCTCGGTGGTAAGAGCTTTTGTGTGTGTGTTTGCTTAGCACTGACTGGCGGGTTTACATGGGAGGTGAAGACGGGCAGCTCCTTCATTTTTCTTTAAGTTTCTAGGGTTTTAATTATGTACAGAAGCTGTCCGGATCATGAAGGGGTTGGAGGGGTGGGGGGGGGATTCATATGTTGTAAATACATCTCCGTTCCGTGATATAAAGTAAAGTTTTGTGTCATTTTCTTTTCTTTTTTTTCAATTTGGCCTTCTGGTGAAATATTAAGTTTAAATTTCTGTGTTTCATAATCATATACTATATCATACAGTTATATTACCTTGTCAATTTTGTTATTTTGTCTTCTAAACTGCTCTCTCTCTCTCTCTCTCTCTCTCTCTCTCTCTCTCTCTCTCTCTCTCTCTCTCTCTCTCTCTCTCTCTCTCTCTCTCTCTCTCTCTCTCTCTCTCTCTCTCTCTCTCTCTCTCTCTCTCTCTCTCTCTCTCTCTCTCTCTCTCTCTCTCTCTCTCTCTCTCTCTCTCTCTCTCTCTCTCTCTCTCTCTCTCTCTCTCTCTCTCTCTCTCTCTCTCTCTCTCTCTCTCTCTCTCTCTCTCTCTCTCTCTCTCTCTCTCTCTCTCTCTCTCTCTCTCTCTCTCTCTCTCTCTCTCTCTCTCTCTCTCTCTCTCTCTCTCTCTCTCTCTCTCTCTCTCTCTCTCTCTCTCTCTCTCTCTCTCTCTCTCTCTCTCTCTCTCTCTCTCTCTCTCTCTCTCTCTCTCTCTCTCTCTCTCTCTCTCTCTCTCTCTCTCTCTCTCTCTCTCTCTCTCTCTCTCTCTCTCTCTCTCTCTCTCTCTCTCTCTCTCTCTCTCTCTCTCTCTCTCTCTCTCTCTCTCTCTCTCTCTCTCTCTCTCTCTCTCTCTCTCTCTCTCTCTCTCTCTCTCTCTCTCTCTCTCTCTCTCTCTCTCTCTCTCTCTCTCTCTCTCTCTCTCTCTCTCTCTCTCTCTCTCTCTCTCTCTCTCTCTCTCTCTCTCTCTCTCTCTCTCTCTCTCTCTCTCTCTCTCTCTCTCTCTCTCTCTCTCTCTCTCTCTCTCTCTCTCTCTCTCTCTCTCTCTCTCTCTCTCTCTCTCTCTCTCTCTCTCTCTCTCTCTCTCTCTCTCTCTCTCTCTCTCTCTCTCTCTCTCTCTCTCTCTCTCTCTCTCTCTCTCTCTCTCTCTCTCTCTCTCTCTCTCTCTCTCTCTCTCTCTCTCTCTCTCTCTCTCTCTCTCTCTCTCTCTCTCTCTCTCTCTCTCTCTCTCTCTCTCTCTCTCTCTCTCTCTCTCTCTCTCTCTCTCTCTCTCTCTCTCTCTCTCTCTCTCTCTCTCTCTCTCTCTCTCTCTCTCTCTCTCTCTCTCTCTCTCTCTCTCTCTCTCTCTCTCTCTCTCTCTCTCTCTCTCTCTCTCTCTCTCTCTCTCTCTCTCTCTCTCTCTCTCTCTCTCTCTCTCTCTCTCTCTCTCTCTCTCTCTCTCTCTCTCTCTCTCTCTCTCTCTCTCTCTCTCTCTCTCTCTCTCTCTCTCTCTCTCTCTCTCTCTCTCTCTCTCTCTCTCTCTCTCTCTCTCTCTCTCTCTCTCTCTCTCTCTCTCTCTCTCTCTCTCTCTCTCTCTCTCTCTCTCTCTCTCTCTCTCTCTCTCTCTCTCTCTCTCTCTCTCTCTCTCTCTCTCTCTCTCTCTCTCTCTCTCTCTCTCTCTCTCTCTCTCTCTCTCTCTCTCTCTCTCTCTCTCTCTCTCTCTCTCTCTCTCTCTCTCTCTCTCTCTCTCTCTCTCTCTCTCTCTCTCTCTCTCTCTCTCTCTCTCTCTCTCTCTCTCTCTCTCTCTCTCTCTCTCTCTCTCTCTCTCTCTCTCTCTCTCTCTCTCTCTCTCTCTCTCTCTCTCTCTCTCTCTCTCTCTCTCTCTCTCTCTCTCTCTCTCTCTCTCTCTCTCTCTCTCTCTCTCTCTCTCTCTCTCTCTCTCTCTCTCTCTCTCTCTCTCTCTCTCTCTCTCTCTCTCTCTCTCTCTCTCTCTCTCTCTCTCTCTCTCTCTCTCTCTCTCTCTCTCTCTCTCTCTCTCTCTCTCTCTCTCTCTCTCTCTCTCTCTCTCTCTCTCTCTCTCTCTCTCTCTCTCTCTCTCTCTCTCTCTCTCTCTCTCTCTCTCTCTCTCTCTCTCTCTCTCTCTCTCTCTCTCTCTCTCTCTCTCTCTCTCTCTCTCTCTCTCTCTCTCTCTCTCTCTCTCTCTCTCTCTCTCTCTCTCTCTCTCTCTCTCTCTCTCTCTCTCTCTCTCTCTCTCTCTCTCTCTCTCTCTCTCTCTCTCTCTCTCTCTCTCTCTCTCTCTCTCTCTCTCTCTCTCTCTCTCTCTCTCTCTCTCTCTCTCTCTCTCTCTCTCTCTCTCTCTCTCTCTCTCTCTCTCTCTCTCTCTCTCTCTCTCTCTCTCTCTCTCTCTCTCTCTCTCTCTCTCTCTCTCTCTCTCTCTCTCTCTCTCTCTCTCTCTCTCTCTCTCTCTCTCTCTCTCTCTCTCTCTCTCTCTCTCTCTCTCTCTCTCTCTCTCTCTCTCTCTCTCTCTCTCTCTCTCTCTCTCTCTCTCTCTCTCTCTCTCTCTCTCTCTCTCTCTCTCTCTCTCTCTCTCTCTCTCTCTCTCTCTCTCTCTCTCTCTATATCATACAGTTATATTACCTTGTCAATTTTGTTATTTTGTCTTCTAAACTGCTGTATTAGTAGAAATACCATAATTATCATGATAACACCCATGACAACAGACATATTCTAAAAAAAGGAACGATTGAACCATCAGTAGCAACGAAATCCACAATATTAAACCTCAGTACCAGAGATCCCTCCTAACCGACTACTTCTTGCGCATTTCCAGTCTACGCTGTCTCGGCCTCCAGTCCCCACCAGCCATCCTACGCCTGCTACATGGACGAGCACCTCCACACCTTCCTCGGAGACGTGTT